TAATAATTATAATGTTAATAATAAACTTTTTGGTGGTATAAAACAATAATTTTTACAGTCAACAAGAGAAGATTAGGCCATTATATTCAATAAAGTTAGATGTATATAATTCAGATGGATTATCCCATCAATAAGGAATAAAGTGACTATACATTCCTTCGTTTTTACGAATAAATTAGGTAGTTGTTTATTCCCTTGATACATACCTAAATAACTATTCTTATAAAAAAAAAACTTTTTTAAGATGCATAATTATACCTAGTAAATATAAAAGTCACAGCAAATAAAAAAATAGAAAAAGTTACATCAGAATTTTTTTTGATCCATTTTTTGGCAATAAATATTTTCCAAACGTACCTAGCTATACCTAGGTAGATACAGGTGATTCTTAAATAGATCGACAAAATTTTATCACTGCTCCCCAAGGATAGATAAATGGAGAAAAACTGTACCCTTTTTACGTTTATAACTATTAGAGAGGTTAGAGAACCCCCTTGATCTGTGCCACTTACGGCGTTTACGAATTGTTGCAATGATCAAGTACATTTTGATCAAATTAATACCATGGTTTCCACTACCTTTGCTAATACTATTTACAACACATCAGTGGCGTACGCTTTACAAAATTAGTTTTAATAAATTTTATTTGGAGAACTGTTAAAGAAAGATTTTTTTTTAATATTTTTTCCAGCATGTACTTATTTGATACTACCAAGGATAAAATGTTGTCGGTCTATTTAAGAATCATCCTGTATATTTATTTATTTTACTTACAATAAAAAATACGTTCAAAAATGTTTATGTGTAATTAGAAATTACAAAACATCACTTGTTTGTTTTTCCTGAAAATACCTACCTTAACAAACAAATAATTTAAAATTAGTTAAAACAGATAAGAAACTTTTGATAAGTTTATGAAAAATAAAATGTTGCGTATATAAAAACAGTAATGGTTTCATTTATTTAAAGTTGTCTAATAAACGTAGACAAAGTGAAATCTGTCTCGAGCCCATCCATGACCATCAGCAGCCACCAAGGCCAAATGACTTTCATGATGCCCTTTAAGTGCCGTTATCTGTTAGCAACAACTGTAGCCCCTATTATTGTTCCTTTTCAAGAAGTAAATCTGGTTGGCCGCCCGCTGTAAACACTGTTTCTTTCGGTGCAATGACAATTTATGTTTCCCTTGTCAAACTTAATGTCGTTTTATTTTTAAAATTGATGCTTTCTATAGAAATTGCAGATGATGGGTTGTAAATCTATCAAGAGAAGATTAAAGACGATTTTACAAGGAATCTATTAAAACCCAACGTGATTTTCGTATTTATATTTGCAGCGTCGTGTAAGCAAGTACCTGCTGCTTTGCACATGTTGCTACATTATAAACTTTGATGGAAAATTTTGATTATAATTAGGATATTTTCACATTTTCTTTCAAATACACATTATTTTTGTTACTCCTATAAAACCACAAAATACCGTTAAAATTACGATTCATTGAGCAAAACAAAATTAAAAACTGATTTATGACTTAACTTCTTATTAAAAATTATTATAGATGATAATTAAATTTGTTGGACGTAAGTTATTTGTCCTTCAAAATGATAAAAACTAGAAGATTAAAGATGAGCTATTATACTTAAACAGTTCTTAAAAATCTTTATCTCACCTCTGATATGTAAAGGTAGGTACTAATTTCAGTTCAAACTAATTTATAAGATAAAGGCTCGGTTTATAAAAGGCGAATTAAAAGTTAATTCGCGATTAGCTCGTGAATCTGAGCATTTGGTTGGTTCATTTTGGTCATGTGATCAGTTAATCTGACGTTTGATTACAATTAACTTAATGATGCTTCTACAGTGCGATCAAAAAGTCTTGCTTATCAAGTAAGCGTCCGAGTTGAGGACGTATTATGTCGGATGGTAGTTCGTATGTTATCTAGGCGTCAAGAAATTATTTTACAAAAATTAAAATATTGATCTAAACAAATTAAGTTATTCTACGAAACGTCTCAAAACATGTTAAAACGAGATGTGGTTAGTGTGTAGGTACTCGTATTCAGACAAATCGTTCACTACGGTTTCCTGTCATAATTTGCATAAAAATTATTTTGACATTTCTCATTTGTCATTGTGACATTTTATCTTCCGCAGACACACGTTTTAAATTTCTACGCTTGCTTAGTAGACAAACTTTTTGATCACTGTATAAACACTGTATAAACCATCCACTTCAAGGACAGTTTTCATGTTCTTGATATGTAAAATATGGAAACCCTTTGGTGTAGGTATACAGATTCAATAAAATTTTGTACAGTTGCGATCAATAAAAACTGGGCGGCAGTTTTTCCTATAATGTAAATATTACCCATATGCGAAAAGTGACATGGAAAACTGTCATGTTGTTCCTTTTGAATCATGCTAGGAAGTAGGTATATACAAAGTGATTCAGAATGAATGATCATCTGTTGACAGTTCCAATTTTAAAAAAATTACCATTTTTAGTACGCTTTAGATTAACAACAATTCAACAATTTTGAGGGGTTGTACGACAAGTATTTCCGAAGCAAAACCGTATCCTGTTGCAGTGTTGCAAATTATTAACAAAAATACTTTCAAATCTGTTACCAACAGACACACTCTTTCTGGATCACTTCGTATTTGTTTGTATACCCTACAACAATTTGAAAAAAACAGTAGAAGTTAGAAATATAGGAATACTATTTATTCCCTCCCTGTAAGCAGCAAAACCTGAAACTGCCTACATTTATCGAAATTTTATCATCGCGTTTCTGATTTATGTAGACCGGGGGTGCATGAAATAAAATTAATCAAATCCGCAATGTATACGTGAGTCCAATGGAGATGTGTAAGGCGTGGCTTGATGATGTTCTCTCCCAATGGTAGGGCGGGAATCTCGTCCGAGGCACACCGCGATCGTAATATTGTGATATCAAAGCGCATATCCATAGGGACGCTCGACAAGCTTTCAATGCGCCTGCCCACAATTATCTTCCTAAATAACAATCACCATCTTTGTACGCGATTCGCGGCTGTCGAACCGAAACCGAATTAATTAAACAACCAACGCCATCGCGATTTGAAATGTTTTTTCAATTGTTATTATAAGCGACATCATAACTCAAGAGCGTTTCTGTTTTAACTACTTCAAAATATTTCTGTTTAAGTTTCGGTTTTACACTTCGGGTGCATTGTGTGCTTCATAAATATTGTACCGAATTTTCTTTGTTTATTTTTAGGTTTCTCACTTTTGCTTTCCCATCACACGAGACGCGGTCTCGACAATGAAGGAGTCGATAGCTTTGCTTCAATATTCACGGAGTCACAGTCAAATTGCCTAGAAATCTATAAGAACTGTGAAGATAGACTTCATTCGCGAGTAAATAGGTACCTATACGTGGAATTGATTTATTGATAATTCCATTGGGTATAATCAAGGGTGTGGTCCTGTAAAGCCACAATTATATACCACCGTGTCAGAATAGAGAAATTGAATACCTATTAGGCATTTTAACATGGATTTATTAATGAGCATTTGAAGTATTTTATTTATACCTTTACGTTTGCAGTAACAAGTAGATGACTGAATGTTTAGAGAAAAATAAATAAATTTTGGGTTTTGAACAACGGCAGTGCACCAATATCTTTTTTATTCAAATATATACCCACACCTACAATAAATAAAGATAGTATTAGTAGTATAAGTGACATAATGCATAATAAAATGCCGTATATAGCGTATATGAAGTTAAAAAACAACAAACAAATAATTTGCAAATCGTATTCAACTGTTACTTCATATACTTATCACTGTAATATTTACACAATTGGCTTGTTAAATCAAATTACCATATCCATATAATATACAAGATCTTCAACTTATTCAAAAAAAAAAATTAAAACGGTATAAAATGATACCTATAGCAGATATTAATGTATATTGAATGTCATGATTGTCTGCTACAATTTCAGGGAAAAATCAACAGAATTTGTAGAAAAAACTCCTATTGGCTAGCAAAATATAGGTACTAAAGGTGATATAAGACTTGAAGTATATTAAATTAAATAAATAAAGAGAAGATACTTACGATACCTCTACTAAAATATTTATAATTTTTTATTTCAACTATTAACTATGAAAAATAAGTACGTTCATACATATGTATTACTATAGGTACTATTACTACCTATTTCTAAAAAAAAAAACACTTCGCACAAAACATTTCGTATTAGTTAAGAAATTGTTTAAAATGATGCCGATATATTTCAATCGACTTTCAAGTAACCAAAATTTGAACTGCTTGTATGTAAAAGGTAAACATTCAATTTTTAACTAGGGCAATTGAGTCAGTGCTAATGACTATTATCTGGGCACTAAATACTATTTCAAAATTAAATAAGTGTGATGCCTAGGTACCTAACTTATTTTTACAAAAATCTTTAAATTTGAATATTTACAAGGTTTTGCATTTTAAATTTAATTATCGTTAAACCTATAAAAATGTAATTTAATAGGTAATTATTTATAACAAATATATTTTTGAGAAAAATAAAGTGAGTTAGGTATATCATAAAAAACTAACATAAATCTACATGCATAGATATACCTATTTACTATATTTGAATCTTTTAATTTTGTTGACTTCTTTATAATTATGTATTGCTTGTTTGAAAGAAATGAAACTTAAAATATTTCTAATGACGACAAAAAATAATATTTTTATAGCAGTTTCAAATTAATCAAACCAGCGATAAAAATTTATCGTAATTATAAGAGTGCTCATTTTTTTGAAAAAAAAAAAATAGAAAAAAGTGTAGGCACCATGCATGCAAACGAATTAATGCGAAACGTGAATATCACTGTTGTTGTTGAAAGGGGTTGCAAATCCTTTACCTGGGTTTAAAGCTGGCAGGTGCCTTTGTGTCGCTATTTGATCATTAAGGCATTTCCACAAAATTTATTTAAGAAAAGAAACTCACCACCGGACTATCATCCCCCAGATCACTTTCCCGTTCTTGCGGATCCATTTCCATGGCATAAACGGGAACCGGTTCTCTGTTTTTGACGCGAATTTTGATAAATTGTCTTTTGCAGAATGCTAAAAGCACTCTGCACACCACACCGAAAAACGAAAACCTAAACACACTCGCGTAAGCACCCGCGAAAAGTTTGGTTATGTCATGTGCTTTCAGCGTTCAATGCTGATGAAATGTGCTAGACGAAACACTACCAACAAACGCTAGCGAACATCTCCAAGCCCACTGGGGCCAGACCGGCGTCTTGCCGTGCTTTGCCCCGTCATTGTTCGAATCAACCAATGGAAGTGCCAGGAGGAGCTTAGAAAGTGGAGGGGCGGCTCTTAGTTGAGGGCTTACATGTAATCATACGATTTTATTGCATACATTATCCAATCGCACTTGGCATTGTATACATTGTTGATTCAGGTTTTGAGATTGATTATCTTACTAACCGCTCCTACGATATTATCTTTGTTGCACCGATGGCCATGACTGTTAAGATTGGAGTTATTTTTTTTTAATGGACAAAAGTTGGTTGTAATCGAGATGGGTTATGGGAACTAACGAAAATAGTATAGAAGTCTTCTTATGCATCTTTTACTTAAAAAACTTAAAACTAAATCTAATAGCTAATACCTATCTGTACCTCAGAGCAAAATAGTATTAACTCTAGTTTTTAAATTTGATTATTATGAGTAAAAAAGAAAGTGTAAAAGGTAGGTACAAACCCTTAAAAGTTATAAAAATTGATTCATTTAAGTACCCACAATATTGGAAATAAACTAACGTACAACAAACATAATACATATACAGGTGTGTCAGAACTCGCGCCCCAGAGAAAAATTTCATGTATAAGATAAGATACCAGAAATAAGAAAAAAATTCTGTCAAAAAATTTCAACATTTATTTTTTGACATTTGACATTTTTTTATGTCTATTTAACGATTGTGAAGATGTTGTATATGTTTTTTTTTTAATAATTATCTAGTAGATGCAGAAAAAATTTGCCGATAAAAGCCACAAATACTCGTAATATTAAACAGACTTCCTTGTTTCCTCTTCTAATAGCCTGTAGCAAAAAAACTTGGAAAATTATTTTTTCAACAAAATAAACAAAGTCAAAGTGATGCAAAATTTAAACTCTCATAACTTTGAAATTTTTACCTTACATGGCATTTTTATCTAGAGTGCGAGTTATGGCGCAACCTGTATGCTTACTCGTACATCTCCACAAAAATGCATATTTTTTTATTAATATTACGAAAAGTAGGTATTTCGTGTTTTATGGATATCAGTAAAAGACGTTAAGACATAAAAGTCAAATATTAAAAAATAAATATGAGTATCTAATGGTATCAGCCGTGTCAAGTACTCAAGTTATTGTTGAGAACTCATCACACAAGTTGTACAACCTACTATACCTACAGCGTGGCTCATTTGTGCTATGTTCAAACATCGATATTTTGCAAAAAAAAACATATCTATGCCTTTATTAATGTTTTCCATACTACATAAAGCGGTGATCCGAACCTTTTAAATCATTATGCAGATTACGTAGTATAATTGTTTCAATTTTCATTTGTGAAATATATTTTCCAAAGATAGGGTTTTAAGTAGTACTATTTTTACTTGTGGAGAGAAAAATCCGTATAAGTTAAAAGAATAAGATCAATGTCAAAATACCGGGTGTTTCATATAATTTTACGAGGCCTGCCTCTGTAAGATGCAATCAATAACACATATTCCAATACGAACTTGATTACAAATTTTAAAAAATTGGATAATTTTCTCTACTTTGTTCACCCTTTAAAAAATTGCAATTGTAGTTTATGACTATTAATGAAACAGTGATTAGTTTGACAACTACTGTCATGGGTTTACAAAAATTAAATAATTAGATGTGTATTTTTTGTGTCCAATGTTTTGTGACTTTTGTATATTTGGGTGCGTGCATTAGGCGCAAGCCTCGTAAAGTTGTATGAAACACCCTGTAATTCTTCATATGTTGTCACAACTTTCCAAAATAATTGTGGGTTCATTAAACATTTTTGTTTTTTTTTATTTTGATATTCTTTAAAACTTTTATGTTGCCATTAAATCTAGTAACTTTGAGAATCAATGGTATAATAATAAATTAATAATTAAATAGTTTTTGCAAAAACCTTGTCAAATATGTTTTATGCGAAGTTATTTCAGTGTCGAAAACTTATCAAAGTATAACTGGTTGCATTTAATTTCCATCAGGATCAGTATGCAATCATCCATCAACTTGTGTGGCATACATCAGTGTTCCTCATGAGAAGAGTACTTCTAATTTTTTTGCCGCAACCAACAATAGGTACCAAGCAATAGCACTAACTAATAAACACACACGTCGCGAAGTTTGGGGGTGATTTTTTTCTTTAATATCAAAGAGACAAGATTAATAATAACCATCATAATTATTTTCAAGATTCGAAATCAAGAAATTGTTGCAACATGTATAATGGGTTGGGGGCAAAAAAATTCTGAAATACCCCACTCATAAATAACCTTGTAAAAGTATAAAATAAAGATTTAATTTCATCATTATATGTATATTTATGTATTTTATAGATATGTAACGTGAAATTTTAATTACAAATTTCCAATAAAACAATAATTAATTATCAAAAAAATAAATAAAATAAAGATCGTGCATAAATTATGATTGCCTAACTTTTTTTCTTTTGGCATATTAATGTTTGTCAACTCGTGTGAACTGTACACTTGTGTACTTTCGATACTCATAGAATGTCCTTAAACTTACGGCACAAGCCATCATGGAACGTGTTCTTAGCTACCTACCTGTCTTATATCCAATTTTTGAAGAAACAAAGCACTAATAAACATTACAAAATTGCCGATATTTATTCAATTAATAAATGTAATAATGTTTAGTTGATAATATGTAAAATTCAACAAATCTGTAGGTATCTTACAAGTTACGTTTGATGAAATAAAGCTAAAATTAAAACAAACTAAACATAAAACTAAATGTAACTTGTTTTTTACGAGGAAATTATCTACTTGATACTTATAAACCACTTATCTAGAAAATGGCAATATCGCTAATATAATTTTTAAGATCAAATTAAGATATACAGGGTGATTCACGAGGAATAATGAGCCTGACCAAATTTTCGATGCAACCACCATTACTTTTCGCAAGTTATTTTGCGACAACTGTTATGTTGGTTGCATCAAAAATTTGGTCAGGCTCATTATTCCTCGTGAATCACCCTATATGTTAGTTGGATGCTAGTGTCAGGGCTTTAGAAAAAAAGTTTCTGTCTAGGTATGTTTTGTAAATAGATAAAAAAAAAGGCAAGTAAGATAAGACACCAAGAACATTAAAAAAAAGTTATCTATTAAAATTTCGAAGTTATGAAAGTTTAAATTTTGAACTTTGACTATCTATTTCTGTTGGAAAAATAGTTTTACATGTTCTTTTGCTACAGACTGTTCGAAGAGGAAACAAAGAAGCTGTATCCTGAATTGTAACTATGTTTCACGTTATTTGTAACTTTGTACCTTTACTAAGTAATTCTAAAAAACATACCTATACAAGATCATTGGTAAAAATAGACATAAAAAAATGTCAAATGTCAAAAAATTTTAAACATATTTTTATTGTTTCTGAAACATTTGGTTGCAAAAAATCGGAAAATGACCAAAGCATAAAATTGTCAAATTTTTATATTTATTCATAGTTGAACAGGGCTTAATTCTAAACGGTTATAAGCTAGAACTGACAGTTAATCTGTAGTAGGTACTACTCACTACTCATTGGGTTTTCACATAAGTGTTCAACTAATTGATTATCTTGATTTGCATTTGATGCTCTCTGCATTTAAGTGCGGCATTGCAGAAAAAATTATTTGAATGCGACAGATGACAAATTGACAACTAAATTCACAAGGACAACCCCTGTTTCAATCTAAAGAAAATACTATTTTCCGTTTTTATTGCAACCAACTGTATCTTAACTTACTTGTCGTTTTTTTGGTCTCTTTACAAAACACCCTGTATGTATGTAGGTACAATAGCGAGCATTAAATTTTGGTAGTCAATGTATGCTCTCTTGTGAAACCAACGTGTGGATGTCAAATAGCTGGTTTGAAATTGACGGAACTTCTTGCCAGCCCCAACTGATCAGCTAACTCAACTTCAGAAAATCCTCTCTCTAGCATGATAATTATTTTCACTTTGTTGGAGATAGAGACTGGGAACACAAGAAAATGTTTGGTAATTAGTTTTTGGCGTAGTGTCTTGACATTTATATTCATTTTTGACAAAAACACAAGAAAACTACTTCTTTAAAAAGAAAAAGATAAAGTTTCAAAATGACATTACCTACCAAAAGTTAATAGTCGCAATTGTACATACATGGGATTAAATACATAAATGTATACTTATGAATTTGAAGCTTAAATGTTCAAAATCATATCCCTTACCTTCAAATCATTTTACAACTCGTTGAAAGCGTTCGAGAGTGGTAGAACTTTATTGAAGGCCTTTCTATATTTTTTTATAAATTTCCACAAAATCTAATAGAGAGCAGTGAGTGACTGAAAGCTAGAGCAGTGAAAATTGAACTCAAGATTTTGTTTAATCAATGTTGCTGATGAGCACATATCGCACCCATCAGAAGTTGCTTTAAATTAAATTAATTTGCGATTAGAGTGCACTGGTAATATTGAAATTTGGTTGGCAACATTAAAAAATTGCGAGAATGAGACACGTGTCGAACTTAATACCTTCTACAGGGTGTTCCGTTTTTATTGTTACAAATTTAAACAGGTGATAGAATATTCAATTTTAAGACAAAAGTTTCCTATGAACATGTATCAAAAAATGTTATGTGAGCGAGCTACACCCCCTGAAAGAGATGCGTTTTTAATGAGCTTTTCCCACTATTGCTGAATAGATAAAATTAGAAAAGTTGGTACAGGAGAAAACCTTTAAACACCTTAACGAATTCAAAGATCAGTTTATGGCCTGTAACATAAATTTTAAAACTGAATTTTCTCAAAAACGGTAAGTTGTATCAAAAAAACTCAAGACTTTTTTGTGAAAAACTATGGAATTTAGAATTTTGTGGCTGAAAGTGGCAAGAACCAACAGCCAAAATAGTTAGGGTATTTTTTACCCTAAGACTAAAAATTTCGACATTGTATCTTTGAATTCGTTTAAGTGCATAAAG